GACTTCTGAACCATACAGAAGAATAGGAAGAAAAAGAGAATCAAAAAGTTTATTAGTGACATTGACGGATAATTTTGAGAAATCTAATTACAAATTGAATAGCATGGGCGAAATAATACAACCTTGCCGTACACCTTTCTGGTAGTCAAAAAATTCTGTCCTTTTATCAGTGCACTTAATTGAACATTTAGTTTTTCAATACAAGTTTTTAATCCTAAGGATCCCAACCCTAACCCTAACTAGAAGAACTGTAACCCCAAGGATCATCTACTGCTACCAATCTACTGAGAAGAGTTAAGACATGGGCACCATGTATGTTCCAGGAAGGACCCTCTGGCCCACTTTAAAGGGTTGCAAATGAGGATATTTGGCTTTTGATAATCTACTTTGCGAGAGTGGTACGTGTAGCAATCAGTACTTTAGTAAATTGCTCTGTTGTGAAATGAGTTCCTTCAATGAAATATGAAGGTGAATTAATCAACATGACACGAGCGTGGGACAAAGAAAAATTCTGAGTCCCGGACAGGAATCAAACCCATGACCTCCCAAACACCGGGCGGGCGCTCTATCCACTGAGCTACAAGAACTCATGGAGAACAAGGTCATTTAACTGAGTTCATATATGACAGGTGTCCTGCATACTGCTAGGATCAACGCTATTGAAGTCATCGTTAAAACCACACGTCACCCCTAAATCTCCCATACATTACTGATACTTAACCTATTTACTGCCATCAGTTGGGTGAGATGTGTGTACAAATGACACTGCTATTCAACTGATGCTTATAACTATTTCAAATTTAAAATGTAAACCTCTTAATTGAAAGTGCTGTTGACTTTTTTTCAGGTAGAATAGCTGACTGGACGAGGAACAGAACATGAACATGGGAAAAGATGAACTGAATGGTTTAAGGACCACCTGGTGAGTAAGAGCACCAGCTTTAGATATTTGTGACCCTCCATATGAAAACACGTCTTATGAAACATGGTAATTTGGGTGAAACCGGGTTTTAAAAGGGTTTCCAAAGGGTTTCAAACTCCTGATTCCTGAAACTTGTTTCCAAAGGGTTTCTAAAGAGTTTCCAAAGGGTTTCTAAAGAGTTTCAAAGGGTTTCTAAAGGGTTTCCAAAGGGTTTCCAAAGGGTTTCAAACTACTGAAACCGGGTTTCTAAAGGGTTTCCAAGGGGTTTGTAAAGAGTTTCCAAAGGGTCTCTAAAGAGTTTCAAAGGGTTTCCAAAGCATTTCCAAAGGGTTCCAATTTACTGAAACTGAAACCGGGTTTCTAAAGGGTTTCCAAGGGGTTTCTAATGAGTTTCCAAGCGTTTCCAAAGGGTTTGAAACTCCTTGAAACCCCTTGAAATCGGGTTTCTAAAGGGTTTCCAAAGGGCTTTTAAAAGCTTTAGCAACGGTTTTCAAAAGAGTTACCGAAGTGTTTTTTGTTGTTTTTAAGGCAATCCAAACGGGTTTCCTATCCTATGAAAGCTTTGAAACCCCTTGACGAAACGTTGCATGTACATGTAATGTAGTGTGACAGAGCGTCTTGAGTATTAGATGATACCTGCAATGCATTACTTTCTTTCATCTAAGTTTATTAATTTCTGTTATTAATTGTTTCCCAGTTAGCATGGGCTTAAAAACGTTTCTGTTTTAGAAAATGTACTGAGGTCAACAAAAATAATGAACCGTTCACTCTTGCGAAAACCTCACATCCAAGAGAACCCTATTTATACTCACCGAAAATTTTCATTCAGCATTTTCTGCACAACTAATTTTGCACACTTGTGCATACCGTGGTGCTCAGCGGCCTTACGCACACATGTAGCGGAGAAAAGATGGTGGAGCTAAATGAGAATGTTATAGACACCATTAGGCGCTGTGTGAGGAAAGAAATGCTAAATCTCAGAGGTGAAAGAACACACGGGAGACTTGGAACAGAAAACCTTTTGAACAGAACAAGGTCCTTGATCTGCGGCGTCTTCAGCGGCAAGAGAACTTCCAAGAGAGCGACCTAAACGATCTTTCAACAGAGCTCCAGGCCACACTCTTTGGCCACTAAAGAAGAAAAAAGGAGATAGCCCGGCTCTAGGCAACCCAATCCCAAAGAGTGTCCATTTACTCGAAAAAGCAACCCCTGATGATGACAATGATGGAGAAGGAGACTACAGTGGGCAAGGAACTAAATCATACCGAGAAAACATGGTGGTTCTGAAGGGTGAGTTCAACCTTATTCCAGGTCACCCCTAAAAGGTACCAAAATTTCATTTTGTGAACATGGCACAAATTCATTTTCACCCCTAACAGGCACCAATAATTCAAACAATATGGTCAATGGCATAACAAATACATCTATAATTGCCATCATTTTACAGATCAATAACCTTCAGTTCCAAAAAGGTACCGGAACAACTCAAGTGGCAGTCATTTTGGGTTTAGCACCCTAGACGGTACCAATCCACAAATTTTACTCCCAAAAAAGTACAATGAGCAGTCCCATCATATTTATGAGAAGTCCCCCTGGGGTTCCAGACATAAATTGTCAGCAATGAGTATCTTTATGTTACTATGAACGGATTACTAATCACTTGCAACCATTCGATTGCATACAAAGTCAAGTGCTTGTTGATACAAGTCAATCCCATAGAAATTTGATTCTTGCAATGGACCTAGTACATGTTGAAGCTGCTCGAGGGCATCTTGGGTTATATCAAGGGCTACATCATCAACATTAACAGAAGAAAGACTGTCATCACTAGGGTGGGGGGCCTGTGAATCATAACCATACCATTCCAGGTCGTCGTTGCTGACTGCTGACTCTGCTACTGTACATCTGCAACTGCATTAAGGTCACAATTCCGGTGGTCAATCATTCCGTTGCTCCAGATTCTCATAGGTGTCCAGTTCCTCTCTGTTCTAATTGGATGAAGATTCCAAGCTGATGTAAAGCTTTCAAGAGCTCTGTTTATTCTTGGCAGAAAAATGAATTGAAGAACAAACAAATGAATATCATTATTTCTATCAAGAATGCCAGCTTCTTCCATAGATTGGAAGGTATAATAGAACATGTGGGTCACAGCACGGAAAACATCTCTCCAGAGCCGTTCAATACGCTGATTCTGTGTTGAAGTTCCAGCAATGTAGATTCCTCTATTGGTTCCTCTGACGTCTTCCATCAGGGCCCACACAAGCACATTTTCACCACCATAATCAGTGCGGACTCGTGATGGTCACTCGTAATTCTGTGTCGCTGATAAGAAAACTTCTCTGACTGTCTCACTTCTGTTGTTTGTTGAGCACTTTAAGAAAAAGATAAGACGAGAGAAACCGTCTATCCCCCCGTAGATGACAAACCCCCACAATACCAAGCTGTGATGGCCATCGATGTGCCATAAGCTATTTGGACCAGGTACTGAATAGGTGCGCCTGGAGACCACCACTGCCCAACAAATTCTGGAGTTCTCTGGATCAACACGAGCAATGCTTGCTCTTATTCTATCACGCTGCACCCGTAAGCTGAGTGAGCGAAGGTGCCCTGACATCAACGAATACCCAACCAAGTTTCCGTGTGTCCTCATGAACTGCCTCACTGTGTTATCCAGCTGCTCATCGGATAAGGGGGAAAACCCTGTAACTTCCTGCAGTCCATACTCAGCAACACGCCACTGCAAAGTCCAATGTGATACTAGAAGTATTCTAGTTATTTCAGTCCAGCAAAGGCCCAATGATCGAAGATTGAGCAGAACGTCTTCTGGTACATCAAGCCTCAGTCGACCTCTGTCTCCATTTCTTTCCACTTTCGGACCGACAAGTGAATACAGAGCGAGATGGGAGCACGTCGAAGAGTTGCTACCGATCCACTGCCTATGCAACTGGTGAACGTTTCTGACAATTTCCTACATTACCATTCTGGTCTCTGAGAGAAATGGTAATATGGTTTGGAGCGCCTGTATAACATACTCCAGCCTTATCTGGACTGCTTCCCGACAGTCAGAATCACTTGTTTCCCATAAGGCTTCACGTTCATCAAGGAGGTCAACTGCAGCTCCAAAGAAGAGTTGCCAATTCGATGGTTCGGATCGTTCACCTACGGCAGCCCAGAAAGGTCACCTACCATTTTTATTTTTTTAATGTTTGTTTTAATTTTTGTTTTCATTTTCGTTTTTTGTTTTTTTTTTAAATTTCTGTTTCCGTTTTTGTTTTTTGTCTTTTAATTTTTGTTTTCGTTTTTGTTTTGTTAATTTTTGTGTTTGTGTTTGTTTTTAATTTTTGTTTCCGTTTTTGTTTCTTAAAATTTTGTTTTTGTTTTTGTTTTTGTTTTTCATTGTCATCTTTTTTTTCTGTTCAAAAAAAAAGAAATAAAAACGCAAACAAAAATTAAAAACAAAAACAAAAATTAACAAAACAAAAACGAAAATAAAAATTAAAAAACAAAAGCGGAAACAAAAACATGGCCGTAGAGTTTATAGTAACCGATGCGTGACTACACTTGACGGCCAAAAGATCACACAACGCTCATGTCATGGATACTGCGAGCAAAGCATGATGGTCTACACTCACTGATTTTGTTTTGGCCTTTTGCAATTTTGTTTTCGTTTTCGTTTTTGTTTTTATTTTTGTTTCCGTGTTTGTTTTTTTGTTTTTTGTTTTTCTTTTTTTGTTAATTTTTGTTTGCGTTTTTATTTCGTTTTTTTGAACAGAAAAAAAAGATGACAATGAAAAACAAAAACAAAACAAAAACAAAAATTTAAGAAACAAAAATTAAAACCAAAAACAAACACAAAAATTAACAAAACAAAAACAAAAACAAAAATTAAAACCAAAAACAAACACAAAAATTAACAAAACAAAAACGAAAACAAAAATTGAAAAACAAAAAACAAAAACGGAAACAAAAATTAAAAAAACAAAAATTAAAAGACAAAAATCAAAAACGGAAACAAAAAGTAAGAAAACAAAAAATGTACATGAAAACAAAAATTAAAACGAACATTAAAAAAATAAAAATGGTAGGTGGCCCTTCTGGGCTGCCGTAGTCAATCAGTACTTCGCGCACCGTTGAGCCTGGAACCGAACATCAGCGACCGCGTCAGGTCCGCGTCTAAAATGGCGGCTGTTATTGGTGAAAACGTGGTCGAAGAAACGAAGGCAAAAGCTAAAGTTTGGACGCAAGATCAGGAGCTGACGCTATTGCAAAATATGGAAAATCACTTGCAAAGTACTGAAAGAGTGAGAGATATTTACGTTAAGGACATCGTGTGGAGTAAAATTGCGTTTGAAGACTTTGACGAACATGATGTCCATAAACGTTGGAATGCCTTAACCTCCAAGATTCGTAAAATGAGAACAGCAAAAGAGATTTTAGAGGATGCTAAAATAAAGGTAGCTGACAAGGAGGATGACGTGAAGTCCAGGAAGAGGAAAAGAGACGACAAAGATCCCGCTTTCCCGAAAACGCCGCTCACCTCTTACCTCATCTTTTGTGCGGAGAAACGGCCTCGTTTAGCTCAGAAATACACAGACCTCGGCAGTAAAGAACTGATGAAAAAATTAGCCAAGAAATGGCAAAAGCTCAGTGACCAGAAGAAACAAAAATATCAGGATATTTACTGGGAAAATAGGAAGAAATATGATCACGACATCACACAGTATTTTATTGAGCACTATCCAGATGAAAGGCCACCGAAAACAGCTTTTGAGCTCTGGTCTGAGAGCAAGGAAAAAGAGATGAAGAAAGATCGTCCGGATATGTCTCAGAAGAAGTTAAATAAGAAAGTAAAGAAATATTGGGAGAAACTAGAAGAGAGCAAAAAAGAAAAATGGGAAAAGAAAGCAAAGCGTGAGGTAACAAGGTATATTAAAAAAATGAAAAAGAAGGTATAAGATTTTTAAAAAAAGTGAAAGGAGGGTATCCGCTGGTTTCACTACCTGTCGAGTCCAGAACGTTTGACTTCGCTACGTGTTCACTACCCACAACTTCCACCTCACTGCCTATTTAGTTTGCATTGTTTATTATCAATAAAACTAAAACTTAGTGAAACAAAAATAAAATGTATAGACCCAAGACTTCACACACATATGGATTATTCCTCTTTCTCTCATCCACTGCCAAGCCAAACTCGGTTAGCTGAGGTAGCAAACTTGACCTGTGGATAGCGAACATGTAGCAAACTCAAACCTTGCGAACTTGGCAGGTAGCAAAACCTGTGTAAATCAATAGAAGGAAGAGATGACTAAATGTCACCAAAGGCTGTCCAGGTTTTGCATACATTCCAGGTGATATTGTGATTTTGGGAAAATACACAAAAATTGCTCTATTGAAATGGTATGTTTTGAAATGATCTTAATAATTTTGACTTATCTTTTGTCTGTCTTGTCTTAATTTAATGTTTCTTTATTCCTGGAGCCAGTTTAAAGCCATTTAGGAGACCTATGCTTTCTGGGATTTTGCTCCCTAATCTGGCTTTAGGAACAGTGAAATGTTAATATTATGCTGTAAATTATGTCAGACATACAGCAAGTCACATCTAGAGAAACTCTTTTTGAAATATATTGCATTTAGGGCAATTTTTGTGAATTTTCATACATTGTCTAAAATGGCTGATCTGAACACAGGGGGCCCACACAAGCGGCGTGTCTGTTTGTATGTTCGAAATATAAAGAAATGTATGGGAATATTGAAGATTCTTAATATCATAAACTTATATCAAGTAATGTCTATGTTAAAGCCCGAGATAAACTTCAACCTATCTCAGTTGTTGTGTATTGTTGTTTCTGCAGTTCAAAATGGCGAATTTGAGCGATTTGGTGGATTTTGTGCTGTTTGCTCCACACTGATTGGATGATGCTAAACAATGCATCCAATCAGTATGGAACAAACAGTGTGATGGTTGCTCCTTGGCACACAAAATCCCAGCTGCTGCTAACTCATAACATTGATCCTTTAGATCTTACCCCTTTCATCAATCTCACTCCCAGAGGTCACAGTCATTTTGGTTTGGAAGGTGAGCCAGCATTAATTACAGCAAATACTCTTTGCACACATGTCCAGAAACTGGAAACAGTGAAACTGGGACCAGGATTTTCTGACTTTGGTTTTTGATTTTGCCCAGAGTGTTGAGTATTTGGCCACTGCTGAGTGAGAACATGCAGGCTTTGAGGATGAGATTGGTCTTTCATTGGATTGTTCATACAAGCAGATCTCTATACCCAGTGGTGACAGAGCTCCCTATGCTATGGCAAAAACTTGAAATTCAGAAACAGAAAATCCAGGTTCCATTCATCCTCAGAGGCCCAGGTAGTTAGTTGGGGCAGAAGGAAATAAATCAGGCAAAAATTGAAGCTTCAAAGGTTTACAAGTAAGGTGGGAACTTGTGAACCTTCAACACTTCAATGTTTACCTGAACCATTTCCTCCCACCCCAGCTAACTGCCCCTGGGTTTCCAAGGATGTGTTCAAGTTTGATTGGACTGATGTATTCAACTTTGATAGTGTTTTCTCAACATTTGTAGGGAGAGCAACCAGCTAATGTTGGCTTATCCTAGTGGGTTCTCTAAGACCAAAACATTTAAAGGAATGTATCAAGCTTAATTGAAATTTCCCGAGGGTTGGGGGTTCTTGGAAAAATCCTTCCCATGGGGAAGGTTATGGATAGTTTCTGGAACTACACATTGTGTGAATGATGCATCATTAATAGTATATATTTAGTTATCTATTTATATGTTCATTTATTTAGTTATTTATTTATTTATTTATTGATATATCGCACGATGAGACATGGGACTTTAAAATTATATTTTGCGGTATCATTATTCAGTACTCGCTTTGAGTCAAAAGCTTCAAAGCCAAAACAAACCAAAAGAGAAACAAGAAGCTCAGCAATCTTTAAACTGGGCCTGGCTGCTTGGCCACCAAACAAACCACTTTTTGCATGGAAGTCATGGCATGACACCGCAAAATCCAAGCGAGTTTAAACATAAAATCCAAACCTTAATGCGAGATATGGCCAGCCATAGAAGGGGCCAAACACTCGGTAAGGATATTTGCTATTATATGGCAAGGTGGGCTTGAGGAAAATCCGAGCGAATAGATTGGTTCACAGTAGCATGCGCACTACGAACATTATTTTGCGTTTCTAAGCGATGTGTTGCTAAGCAACGGCTTTGCTGAAAGTTGATTTATGACTTGAAACAAGAACAATCCAAATGAACAATCCAAGACGGAAAGTTTGTAGCGGCCATAGAATCGATCTTGTAGCAATGAAATGTTTTTCTTTTTATGGTACCCGTTACATTTTTTCCTGTCACCTCCCCAGTAAGTAAACATTTGCGTATCTCATAAAAACCATTTTTGGTATGTTTTTAATAACAAAATCGTTGCAACAGCACTTTTAGCTTCTCTGACAGTCTTTCTTTGTTTCAACTAAAATACAGTCTAAATATCTTTTGCTTACACCCAAAAACTAATTCACCAGCCAGTAAGAATAGGGATAGCTGAACCCACTCACCACCATTCTCGTCTTTAGACTTTACTTTAGTATAGGGTAGAAAAATTCAGTTGAACTAGCTCTGGTATAGACTAGGGGTTCCAGGGTCCAAGCGGCACATCCCCACCCAGAAATTCCCAAAATACCTCCCCCGGGGGCCGCACTCCTTTTGGTCAGGAGCGCGACCTCTGGGGACGAGAATAGAGTAATGGAGTAAGGGCCTGGGAACAAGGGTACTTCCCACGATCCTCTTGTAATGATAGAACGCTTTTAAAAGTATAAAGGATGCGAACGATCACAACGGAGTTTTCAAACTCAACAGTTATTATGACTTACAGTGGGAAGAGCCACCAAAATTGCCGTTCGAGAGACAAATATACTGCTACGGTCAAGGTAAGAAGTACAAATCTTATTTGGTTTGAAGAGATCAGGGTTTTACTAAGGTACTAAACAGTCCGACTCGGCGAGGATGTTCTCTGACTAATTACTGTACCGCAGTGGAAACCTCGATTTGTCGGATATCCAGGGAAAGAAAGCTGTTCTAATAGTGAGATTCCATAAACTGGGAGTAAAGCAGTTTCGAAAAATCTAGGGGTCTTCACAGCGGTCGTACAAGAATTCTTACAGAAAGCTATCACATGAAACGAAAATTATTATCCATTGGGCTAATCAATGCAAACTAAATGAAACGATTAATCTCGATTTTGCCCCAAAATCAAACGAAATCGATCGAACACATTTTGTTTTTGTGAGTTCGATTTCCGAAATCGATACCCTGCGAGACAGGACAGACAGAGATTCCCTTTTGAGTTCTCTTTCACGAAATCAAAGTGAACTTCACCTCACAGTTCTTTCTCGTCTCGCATCGAGCAGAAAGAGAATTTTGCTCGAGTTTTGTTTGGAGCTCAAAATAAAGAGTGTAATTAAGCTGAACTTAAATATGGTCTCATAGAAATGCTAACTTATTATGCTATGCTCAAGTTAACAAATTAAAGTGAGTGCTCACAAGAAGTAATTAATCTAATAAGCAGGGGGAGAGCTGGTGCTTGCTACTGGGGCTGGGGAAAGTGAGAGTATAATTGGCTATGATATTTTACTTGCAGCATGTTGAAAATCACTGTGAAACTACTGAAGATAATTAAACATACTGTCAGGAACACAACTTACAGTAAAGCATTATTAAGATTTTGCCTCATCATGCAAATTACATGTATTGCAAAACTTTTGATGGCATCAAAAATGGCTGAATCTGACTAGGGTGCTTTGATGGTGAACATGCTAAGTTTGTTGTTGGCCCTTGCCTTGCACCAAGGATTTTCCTCCTGGTACTCTGGTTTTCCTCTCTCCACAAAAACCAGCACTCCAAATTCCAATTCAACCAGGAAAGAGGACCCATTTGAAAACCAGCTAAGGCTCATGTGGCTTTAAGCTTCCTCTCTTAAAATATTGTAATCAATTTATTTGTTTATTTATGCGTCAGTCAATTCCAGCAGTGCCCATCCCCCCCCCCTCCCCCCCCCGGGCTAACCCCCGGGCATTAGCATTTTTTTTTTAATAAATGGGCAAATTCCCCGGGGTGGGGACATATAAGCTGACTAAATGCCCCAGGGTGGGGGCGAAGAAAGAGGGCAAATGCCCGGCCCCCGGGATCATCGCCTTCCAACACCTCTGCAGTTTTTTTTATTAATCAGTGAATAAAACGTTCAACTGTTCAGTATTTTAATGCAATGGTAAGACTTCAAGGACAACAGTTATGTTTTAGCTGATTCTGATTATATTTTATATTTCTTTATATTTGTTGTTAACAGTTTGCTAGAGGATAGCTGGGATCACGTCAGACGTGCCTTCAGCCGCGAGTGATGATAGGTGCCTGTTTTCGCAGGCTACTTTTTCGGTAAAGAATCAACACATTTTAAACGACGATCCATTGCATTTTAAGCTCGTAAGATCTGTCTTGAAGATCGCCTCATTTGAATTCGCAAACCTTAAATATTTTAACTCCACTTTCATGAATCTAAAAAATGCTAGGCTAGTTTTGAATGTGAAATGCAAAATAGTCGTGTTCACATCAGTGATTGTTTTGTGATAAACAAAATATAGTTCACCTTGTCGCTTATATTTATATGCTTACAAGTAATGAAGAAATATCTAAAATTGAGAAAACACACCTTTAAAACATCTACAAGTTTCTCTAGTCCCTGATGGACAAGTCATTGTTTGACAAATGCCTCGTCTTTCCCGATGAACTCATCCATGGCACTTTCGAAAACGTGTGTGTCAAATGCCTGGGGGTCGCCCTGGGGTATACATATGCCCAGCCCCCGGGCCACGATAAAATTGCAGATGCCCCACCCCTGGGACTGACAATGCGAGCAAATGCCCTGCGGTTGCCGGGGGGGGGGGGGGGGGGGGGG